ATCAATTGGGGAGAGATCCGCCGCCGCAGTCACCGCTAGGGATGGCAACTTTGCCCATACCCATGAGTTTCTTACTATCCAACCCAATTGGGTTGGGTATGAAATCCAAATAGATGGATATTGGTAAAGTTTGATGGGTTTGTACCCATACCCATTTACTTTGGGTTGAGTTGGGTTTATATCAAATGGATTTGGGTTTCTACCCATGCCCAAATACAAATTACAGTTTGGTACCCAAACTTAATAGATATGCATATTTAGTACCTAAATTTAATTTTTTTTGCATATAAGTCCTCAAAATATCGATGGAAAATTACGTTTTGGTACCTAAATTTTTTTGGTCTTACATTTTGGTACCTAAACTTTTCAAGTTTTACAAATAGGTCCAATTTTTGCATGTGTAGTTAAAACACCCTTAAGTAAATGGATATCCATATCCAACCCATACCCATTTAGATTATGGAAACAATATTCATACATTACCCAAACCCATCTATAAACCCCCCAAATCCATATGCACTTCACCCATACCCAACCCATTATCAATGGGTCTACTTGGGTTTGGGTATAATTACCCATGGGTGGGTAATTTGCCATCCTCTAGCCTCTTCATCGATTCGCGCTCCGGGCGTTGATGCGTCGTGCTTCCGTGCACCTAATTGTTGTCGGCCGCTATGTTCGTCGAGAAAGGAGAAATATGGAAAGGGTAATGAGGGGAAGAGTGGAGTTTAGAATGGATGAATGTAAGGCAGCGGCGGAGATGGTCGGAGAATCGTGGAAGAGCATGGCGACCGACATCGAGGAAGAAATTGGAAGAGTTGCTACTTTTTTGACAAATTGGAAGAGTTGTTGATGGTGTAGAGAGTTAAGATTTGCAGGTTTGGGAGATGAAAAAAGAAAATTCTCATCTTTCAAGCGGGAGGGGAAGGGTAGATTTGGGAATAGATGAATGTGAGATAGCGGCGGAGATGGCGCTATGGCGTCGCAGAGTTGGGAGAGAAAAAGGGAAGGAGGACAGGTTGGGAACTTGGGATGCTACTATCGAGGGGGGTATCCGGTTATCCGGTAAACCGTGTGCGACATTGTTGCTACCGCTAATCGATCCAGCCGGTTAACGATATAATCGGTAACCACCAGTTACCGGTTAGGTTATCAGTTATAAACTTAATCGGTAAACCGATTACCACCCTTAGTCCCTACTCAACGTAGTTGCCACTACTTCGTCTAAGGGTGTGATGAAAACTGAACCTGATTGTGCAAGGACGAATGAAAAGACAAGAAAATGTAAGGGAGTTGAGAAGGTAGTGGAGGATCCCCAATTTGAAGTTGTGGTGGAGGATCCCCAATCAACACAATAGGTTCATGTTCTTACATCCTAACACATAGAGAGACTAAGATTCACAATACCCAAGTGAGTAGGTAGGCTATCCATATCTAAGCAAGAGTAAACAACAAAAAGGGAAGAAAGAACCATGAAGTTATGTCAATTTTTCCTCCTTGTTGCTTGAGACACCTTGAGATTAAGAAATCTTCAATCCTTTAGCAAGGAACAAGGGCTTGAGATACCTTGAGATTAAGAAATCTTCAATCCTCTGTAATTTGTTAATTATTTCATCAAATATAGTGAAATTGTCTCTCTTTCCTGTTCATAGACTAACTAACACAAATTGTATTAATGAACTATGCAAATTCATATATATTTTTTTAATTTTTTGCATTATCGATTATCTCAATCTGTTCTTTAATCATGAATTTGTTGTTTTTATGTATTAGGGACGGCTAGGGGATGCGGTTGGCAGGAGATTGGAGCGTACATAAACCTGGGGTCGTATTACATCGTGGGAATACCATGTGGTATTTTGTTTGCTTTTGTTCTTCACATTGGTGGAAAGGGTCTGTACCTCGGGATCTTATGTGCTTTGGTGGTGCAAGGAATTCTGCTTGCCATCATTACCATTCGGACCAACTGGGAACAAGAAGTAAGTGTGCCAACACAAGCTTTCATACACGTTTATATGTTTGTTAATTACACCAAAAAAACTCATGGTTTGTTGTTTGCTCTTTTTCCATATCTTGTTTACAGGTAAAGAAGGCTAGTGATAGAGTTCATGATACCACGATGCCGCCATGCCGGTAGAGAGATTGTGATGATAATCTAATTGATGATGATGGGGTGATATGAGATGTATGCTTTTATCATGAATCGATTTTTTCATTTTTCGCTTGGTTTTTATTTAAAGGACATTCTGAGAATTTGTTGGAATTGTATTGAGATACAGAGATAAAAATTTCTCATGTATATAAGGTATGTGAGTCGTCATTCAAATTGTCTTTTCATGTAGGGTATAGATCAACCTTTGTAAGTAAAGATATTGGGTGGATTTTTCAATATAAGACATTGCGTATAGACGTGTTTATTAAAGTTATAGTACATAAAACTAAGAGAAAATACTTCATAAATGAAAATATAGATAACATATAGAGTTTAGTTAGTTGAAAGATGAAGTCTTGCACTTATTTAAAGTATCACCAATGGATGAAAATACATGATAAGTAAGTTCTAATCAAATATATAGGAGAAGCAAAATACATATTGAGACAATTCCAGGCAAAACAGATCAAGAAAGGGGCGAGACTGGGCTGGGCAGGGTCAAAGTATTACCCATGCCCCACCCCACCCCAGCACAGATTGGATTGTGTAATTACAGACTAAGCGAATTCAAACTGTCATCGCTAAGCATAACCCCTTAATATTACATGCATGACACTTTACCCGTTCAATGCAACAATCGGAAAGGGATGGAGCCTTACCGTAGGAACATAACCAAAGGATTAGCTCTCGAGTGTAGTGATGGCAATTCCTGACCTGACCTGCGTGACCCTACTTGCCCCGATCTATTTGGGGCAGGAATTACTCGAGCCGTAGTAGCGTAGGGCAACACATGGGTACTATTTCTGACCTACCCCGCCATGTATTGTCATGTTCTTGACTCATTCTATCACGATTTTCATCAATATCTACTTGTATTTATCCTCTTTTGACTTTTCTAAAATAATATTTTGTATACCAAATAAATATTAAGACTCCAAATTTCAACTAAATCCCTCCTTTTACTATATCTATGATTCACTTATGAAGTGTTTCCTTTTCGTCTTCTTGTAAAAGAATTGAATCTCAACGTTCTTGTTTTCAAATAACATATAAGAATGGGTCGACCTACCACACCTGTACCTGCATAGATATTACTTGACCTCACTCGCGCATAGTGTTGAACAATAATGAGTATTAAGGTACCCGTCCTATCCCGCCCCGCCTCATTGTCATCACCCAGAAAGATTAGCCCAACTCCTTCTTCCATATCGACCATGGTCTGTCTTACTACCATCAACCTTCCACTCGAAGCACTCCAATGACAGCCAGAATGACAGTCACCATCCTCCAATAATATATTGTAGAGTTTTGTCTACTTTTCTCTATTTCAAATTTCCTGCAACGAGAATGAAAGTAGGAAGGGCATTTTTGTCTGTACAATTATTTATTTATTTCATATAAAATATGTCAATATCAGGATTTGAACCCGAGTCTCTTCAAATAAAAACAACAATTGCAACAAATTACACTAAAATTTTTTTTTGTATCTTTTTTAATACATAATATACACGAAATGACACTCTGAAAATCAGAGGAATTTTTCATCATGATTAGCAAGCCCATTTAGTATACCGTATGTGTTTTATGGTGCTTGACACTACAATTTTAATAGCAGAGTTTCATGTAGTTTCCCAATTCTAAAATCACTGCTCTCCTTAATTTTTGCTAAAGGTGAATTGGTAATTAAAAAATGATTTTTTGGTTGAAAAATACGCCTCTTGAGATTGAAGATAAAGAGGATAAAAATTGTATTGTACAAGGGAGAGTGGTGGCTATTGGATCTTTAGGTTTATGGTTTTCGAAGCTATCGCAACCTAATTCTACCTTAAAACGAGGAATCATCAATTAATTTTCTGAAGTAGGTCAATCGATTATTTATTCAACCTACTGGAACTGATAGAGAAGGAGTGTCTAATTTTGTTCCTTATTACTTTGATCGAATCTATTAGTATATTGGAGGTAACCCTGATTTTGGTGTTTGCTCTCAAGTTATGATGGTCCCCTCTTAGCTGAGTTGTTAGCATATAGTTAACTTGAATCAACAACTCTTCATTTCTTTTAGATTAGTGGCATATTGTTCTTAAAAGGAGAGCATTGAACATTTATGTAGGATTGCAAAGTTTAAGATTTAGTTTAGAAATATCTATGGTTCGTAAGGGAATTTCAGTGAGCTTTTGTACTCTATCTTACTTGACAATCAACTAACAAATAGCATTTTACCGGGGACTTAATTATTATTTTGAAAATGAGACCAGTGATACATTTTTAGATTTCTCCAAATGTTCGATCTATATATTCGTACTTTATGTATAATCTCGATCAAAGGATTATCAATAAAATTAAACGGGTTGATAGAATTAAATGTAACATGAAAATATAAATATTCCGGCCAACTGGCCGGGTTATAAGCTAGTATTCAAAGCGAGTGCAATTCGAGGACACATACCTATCGGGTTAAAGACACATTTGGTCACTGAGATTACAAAATTGGGACATGTTTAGTCACTAGAAAAAGTTAATATCAAATTTGGTCACTACAATTACTAAAACTAGACGCATTTAGTCACTCGCCGTTAGTCTCCGTCCAACTCCGTTAATGAAGTCCGTTAAGTGCTGATGTGGCAAACAGAATTGCCTAATCAGTCGGATATAACCCAACAAAAATAAAACCCGACCCGCCACGTCATTATAACCCGCCACCTCATTAAAACCAACCCAACCCAACCCATGACCCAACCCTACCCAACCTTGCTTCCTCCTTCCTCCCCAACCCAATTTAAGGTTTTCCCCATCCCATCCAAATGCGCTGGGCGGGGAGAAGATCTCTCCGCCATTAATCCGGGCGCCAATAAACTAAGCTTGAGAAATCTGCTCTCATAGAGATGAAGCGCACCTCGTGAAATATGCAGTCGAGAATGGAATAGGAATGTGCAGGCCCTGATGGTTCTCTCGTCTTCGCCCCGTTTGGGAGAGCAGAAGGGAAACAATGCAAGATCGACCCATTTCGTTGCCTGCTAACCGTCGTTCCGTTTGAGGCAACGACGAAACAGCGCTTCCCGGCCGGCCTGGCGAAGACGTACCTGCATAAAAATAAGCACAAAATATTTTACAAACTCCACTCAAATAGAAAGACAGTCGAACAGGCGGTGGGCGAAATTTTGCGAACCAGTCTTGACTCAAGTTATCGGGTATGTCAATCATCCATTCCGGAAGCATCAGTTGTCTAGCGAACCAATTGCGAACTTGCTCTCCTCTCATCCTAGACGCTCTCCGGATATCGAGCTCCTTCGCGGGAGCTTCAGATTCTTCCAGGTAGGGTTCGAGCACAACATCAGCAGCAGCATCATCGGGTTCTTGAGATTGAAGAGAGATAATGGTGGATGCCAAATTACGCACTCGCTGCTGGGCATCATGGCGGGACTGCGCTTGCCTCTGTAATGTCAACTCTCGACGCCTCTGTTCATCGGAGACCCTAAATTGGGTTGGGGGAGGAAGGAGGAAGAAGAGTTGGGTAGGGTTGGGTCATGGGTTGGGTTGGTTTTAATGAGGTGGCTGGTTATAACGACGTGGCGGGTCGGGTTTTATTTTTGTTGGGTTATATCCGGCTGATTAGGCAATTCTGTTTGCCACATCAGCACTTAACGGACTTCATTAACGGAGTTGGACGGAGACTAACGGCGAGTGACTAAATGCGTCCAGTTTTAGTAATTGTAGTGACCAAATTTGATATTAATTTTTTCTAGTGACTAAACATGTCCCAATTTTGTAATCCCAGTGACCAAATGTGTCTTTAACCCCATACCTATCGCAACGATGAATCTCTCAGGCCTGAACTCTAGCGCATCATCCATTGTTCCAACGTGATGACGGCTTAGACTTGAAAGCCCAATAACGATTCTTGGGCTTAGGCGGTAACTGAAGCCCAGTTCCTTTAGAGCTGCCTAGAAGGAAAAGTAAGACTGGGATCACCATTTGACAGCCGTCAAAAACGAACAGATGAGGAATTTGATGACCAAACGGGCCTGAATCCCATCCTCTCCCAAATTGCAGGTCGAGTTTTTCTTCACACTTCTGGTTTCTGCTTGAACAGCTTCGTTTCATGGTCTGGTCTCTATGTTCCTATCTTATCTTCTCTCCGCAAACCATTAGACTGCAATTCCTTATTATCTGGAATTAAGCACAACAATTTCAAAGTCTCATTTCACTTGTGGAGGCTTTGTGTACAGATGTACAGAGTCTACAGAACAACACACTCTTATTATGTACAGATTACAGAAGAGTGAACAAGAGATCAAAACAGGAGATAAGCGCCATACTCAAATCCATCACCATCAATCATCAGCATGTCATCAACGCTTGTCCCCAAATCGATCATCTCCACTCTGCCACCACCACCATCTTCCTCCCCACCAAGAGCAACGCAGCACCCACTGCACACGAACAACGGTGGCGCCTTCTCCGAGTCATCGATCCCAACACATCGCGTATGATGCCAGACCTCACAGACATCACATGCCACCATCCTCTCCCCGTCGTCATCTCGAGCTCCACACTCGCACTTCACTCTCCAGTTGTCCGCCCCTCCTCCTTCATACTGTTCATCACTGCCACTACCACACCTGCTCATCACTTCCTTCCCTCCTCCTGTTACAGCCACCTTCACCACAATCTCTGAACCAGGCTCGATTTCACCACTCAAAGATTGATCATCGTCCGCATCCTCCATGCCCTTAACCTCTATCACCTCCACATCCTCCATCGTGGCATAGGTGTCCCTCAGGGCTTCCTCTGCTGCTTGTTTGAGCTCCACCATGTTTGCATCAGGTGGAAGTACTACTATCTCGCTGAAATCCTGCTTTCGGTGGCCATCTATGGTGTCAACCCGAAACAGCAATCTCAGCAGCTGGTCGCATCTGTCATTCCACGGCCACTCCTTGACGAAATGCTTGGAGTCTAGAACAGTCAATGTTGCAATGTCCACTAGCTCCGAATCTGGATAGCTAACCAGCACATTTTCATACAGATAGCTCATGTCGGTGTACAAATCGATTCCCGGGAAAATTCCTCTTCGTTCTTGGAATTTCCTCTCGGATCCTTGTTTTTCTTCTTGCCGTAGGTCAGCAATGGAGTACTCCAGAATCCTGGTTCTGGGATTGACGGCTCGCCGGATGACGGAATCACCGACGGCGACGTTGTTCATCGATTTCAGAACGTAATCGAGAAGCCCCGTATCTCCGACGTGCATCCGAGCTGCGTCCCTCACCTGTTGCCGACTCATCCCTCCGCCGGTCAACGTCTTCCCCTGCTGCAGAGCTTCCACGATAACCGCCGCCGCGAATTCCATTCTCCTCGCCGACCATCTGCTGTCCAGCGTCGCGATTACGGAGCTGAACTTCCTGCACCGATTCTGCGCCCGCGGATTTCCCTTCTTCCCCGTCGACAGCGGCGGAACCCTGATCGGAAACCTTGACGGAGTTGAGCAAATGCCGTTAGGGTTTGCTTCTTTCTTGCTTCCGCAGCGGCAGGATTTCAAATCGAGCATGAATCTGAGCAATTCTCCGAGATTCGTCAACTGGGTTCGACATAGATCCCTGTAAAATCGAACGATTCGCTTCAATTCCTCTCCCCCGTGGCCCTTCGAATCGAAATCGGTGAGAATCGGATCGAGCTGCAGAGAAGCCACGGCTTCCAGAGCTCTGTTGTAGCCCTGCCCCGTCACGCCGAAACTTCCTCGACCGAACTTGTATCCCCATCTCCCGAACCAGGAGTGGCCGTAGGCGACGCCGTAGAGTAGCCGGAGATCCATCGATCGCTTCTTGGAGACGTCCTCGACGGAGATAGAACGAGCTCGGAGGGATCCGCAGATCCGATCCCACAGGTCCATGATTTCCCTGCCGGAGAGGTGCCTGGAGCCGCCGCCTTCGATCCCGTTGATTCGCAGGAGGTGGCCGAATCCGTTGCAGTGAATCAGCCCGTGTAGGAGATGGGATTCGAGATCGAGTGCTCCTTCTTCCAGTTTCCTGTTCCAGTCGCTGTGGACTGGGATTATGATGTGATACTTTCTCTTGGAAACGAAATTGTTGCCCCAACCTGCAACCCAATGGCGAGCATAATCGATTAACGAACAAAGAAGATTTGCCGACTTGCAGTTTGAGATATCAAGAACGCAAGAATCGAAATGTTTTACGGATACAGAGACCCATTTTGCAGCTTATCTATCCAAAACAGAAAATTCCCCCTCAACTAATGAATTCGCGATTCCTTTGCGGAAAGCGATGGAGACCCATTTGATCATTTAGCCAAGAAATGGAACTAGAAGGAGAGGAAGAAGAAGGAAGGAAGGGGATCTAATTGGTTTGCTTACCAGTGCATTTGCATCGATCGCAGAGAGGGTTCTGAGAAGGATGGACGCTCTCTTCGTCTTCGACGGTGTACAGCGGCAGGACGACATTGTTGTTACTACTGCTTGTGGTTAGTAGAGTGCACCATATGGGCATTCCTTCAATTTCGTAATCTTCAGGTTCTGCACACTCGTTGACGAAGATTCTGATATTATCACGGAAGGGACCGGTGAATGCGATCGGGGAGCAGCAGGGATCGCCGAAGCTGTGGAAGTCGAAGCACTTGGGGTTTCGCTTCCTCTTTCTGCAGACGTCGAGAATTGGGATCAACATTTTTGTTTCTCACGGAGAGTCACGTTTGCTCATTCCTTTGGTTCTGTTTCAATCATTTCCATCCGCCATTGTTGGAAGCTTGGAGCTGTAATTGAGTGAGCGAGGCTGGACTCTTCTTTAACCGAAATGGAAGAGTTTGTTACTTTGTAAGAGTCTGAGTCGGTGAGTCCAAATTTCCCGCTCCGGTTCAATATTTAGCTGGAGAGGCAGTAATACCCTTCTACAGATCAAGAAATTTAAGGTAGATGAGGGGCAATTTGGTAATGATATCCAGTAACAATGTTTAAGCTTTTCTAACAAGTCTTCTGTGTACTTATGTTGATTTATGAACACACCAGCAACTAGGGATGGCAACAAAACCCGAACCCACGGGTACCCACCTGACCTAACCCGGTCAACGCGGGTAAAATCCGTGTTGACGGGTTTTGGGCCGGGTTTGGGTTTAAACCCGTTCACTATTCACCGGGTTGGGTTGGGTTGGATTTGGGTTTAGGTAAACCCGGCCCGTGGGTACCCGCCCACCCATATAATTAATTTTTTTGGTATATTTAATATTCTAAACAACTAAATGACTAATCTTATTTATGTTTGTGGAGACATTGTTGTGACCAAGTCAGCAAGCCAGCCATTAATCACAGAATTTGAAGGAGGAAACGTGGGATACAAGGTTCTACAGAGGGAAAGAAATCGTGCAAATGGTGGATGATTTGATTCGGCAAAGATCCACGCATGAGAGGCTCTTAAGGAAAGAATTTCAAGCTGCCTCGCTCTGACACTAACGGCTAGCTGTGAAGAAGTATAAAAGGATCAGAGTCAAGTAATTGAAGGGGCTTTTCGGAAAAATCTCGTTCAAGAGTACACAGAGAGGTGTAAGCAACGAGAGATAGGAAGAGCGGCTCTAAACACCAGATCAGGATTGATAGTGTTTTAGAGATTGAGAAAAGTAGCTGGATAGCTGAGGAGAAAGAATTACAGGGATAGAAGGATTATCCTTCCTGTAAGGGTTGGGTAACTAAGTCTAAGAGTGTATCTCTGAATTGGTGCAACAAAAGCAACATACTTAGTGGATTGGCGAGAATCACACATCAGTGATATCTCGTCCGTGGATTAGTCAGAGTTGGGGATCATTTTACCCAGCTCTGGATACCACGTAAAAACGTGCTATAGCCTTTATCATTCTTGTTACCTGTTTACTGTGACTGTCTCTGTTTGCAGGACTCGGTATTGGTTGAGAAACAGGGGAGCTGAATCCGTTTGGTTTCAAGGAAACAACACTAAAGCTGTTGTTAAAACGCACAGTTCAGACCAAAGGTGGAACTGTGCACTATAGGCTTGATTCGAGGCCTGAACATCAGTGGGCCTAATTAAACTCAAGCCCAGGGTCTAAAGCCCATCTGGTTCTATTATTTGTTTGATCTAAAATCTCACATCCTCAGTTCACTTGTATTTTCCCCTTCACTGATCATAGTCGAGAGTCGGGTTAGGGTTTGCAGGGAAATCTGATCGACGAAAAGTAGGAGGCATCTCGCGCTCGACGCCTTCAACAAGTGGTATCAGAGCACGGTCGTCAATCTAGGAGGGTTAGCATCCCTTGTCGAGATTCAGGATGGCGTCAGGATCTTCAAGCAATGCTCCACTGTACCTCGCGGATGGATTTTCGCAGAATCGACCTCCTCGCTTTGAAGGGGTAAATTATGGTTATTGGAAGAATCGCATGGAACTGTTTGTTGGGTCAACAGATCCCAAGCTGTGGGCGAGAGTCGTCAAAGGACCATACGAGCTGAAGGCAGATCAAGAGAAGTGGACCGATGAAGACTATGAAAAGTTTCAGCAAAACTGCAAAGCTACAAACTTGATGTATTGTGCTTTAGGTCCAGAGGAGTACCACAAGGTGGCAGGATGCAAGACAGCAAAGGAAATCTGGGATAAGCTTCAGGTAACTTACGAGGGCACTTCTCAAGTCAAGACATCTAGAATCAACTCGCTTAAACATCAATTTGAGTTGTTCAAGATGGAGGAAGGTGAAACTATTCGTCAAATGTATGAAAGGTTCACCAACATAGTGAACAGCCTCGAGAACTTAGGCAAATCATACGAAAGTGGGGATTTGATAAGGAAGATTCTGTGGAGTTTGCCTGATAAGTGGACACCTAAGGTGACTGCAATTGAGGAGGCAAAAGATCTTGAGAAACTGTCTATAGATGAGCTGATCGGATAACTGTCCACTCATGAGGATAAACTGATGAAAGGAGGAATCGAGAAGGAGAATAGTGACAAAGGAAAAAGAGGAATTGCTTTCAAGGCTACAAGTTTGTCTGATGATGCAGAGGAACTAGAAGACATGGAAGATGAGGAGCTTGCTTTGTTGAGCAAACAGATAAGTCGACTTTTGAGGTTTCGAAAGGAGAAAAAATTGGGAGGATCAAAGTCGCGGGATATTGACAGAAACGAAAGTACAACTAAGATTGGGCAAGCTCGGATAGTTCCAAAAATTAGAAACGAAGGAGGTTCGAAGGGGATTGGATCTACTGGCTGCTTCAAATGTGGGAGATCTGGACATATTAAAGCAGAATGTCCGTTTCTTAAGCGTGAAAAATCCTATGCTGCAACATGGAGTGGAAGTGAAGAAGAAGGAGATGAGGATGATGAAGTCACAGTACATCGATCCTATATGGCTGTTGCAGAGGAGACAGAGGAGGAAGAAGTCATGTCTCAACCTCAACTGAATCCACAGGTAAGTATCTCCAACTCGTTAGAACTAGTAGATTCTGACTGTGAATATGATGATGATCTGCTAGTTAACACTATTAGAGAAATTCAATTGGAGTTTGAAAATGTTAAATCAAAGTATACTAAGTTGAAAAGAGAAAATGAACTAAACCTGAAGAAAATTGAAGATCTAGAAAATAAGTTGGAACTAAGTGAAATCAATAATAGTGAAATCATGCGTGACTTAAGAAAAACTCAAAATGAGAACCATCAACTTCAGGATGGATACTTGAAACTGAAAGAACAAGTAAAACATTGTGAAAACCATAAGAAAGGACAAACTCGATATGAAAACTTGAAAAATACTGAATGTTTTTACTGTCACAGGATTGGACATCTGATTAAGGAATGCAAATACCGTTTAAGATCAGAAGCTAAGAAACAGTTTATGACTAACAGGAATGAGAACTTATGGAATAGACAGTTATCACAAAGACCCAAGAAAATCTGGGTCAGAAAAACAACGTGACTTATGTGTATGCAGAGATGTCTTCAAGTGAGCATGGAGACCTCTGAGTGGATTATGGATAGTGGTTGCTCACATAATATGACAGGTAATGAACTGTTGTTTTCAAAACTGGAATTAGGAAAATATGGTAAGGTTTTCTTTGGGGATAACAATTCGGCTGAGATAATTGGAAAAGGTCAAGTAGGGTCGTGTCCTTGTATAAGGAATGTCATGCTAGTCAAAGGTTTAAAGCACAATCTCATGTCAATAAGTCAGATGTGTGGCAAAGAATGCAGGGTCATTTTTGAACCTAACTGTTGCTATGTGGAAAACATTAAGTCTAAACAGATCCTGTTCACAGGAAAAAGGAATGGTAAAATTTACTCAATAGATCTAAATGATAAAGAATGCTTTAATGAGACATGTCTAATAAGCCTAGATAAAAATTTGCAAGAAGATTGGCACAGACGTCTTGGTCATGTAAATGTGAACACTTTATCTAAACTAGCTCGACTAGGATTGGTTAGGGGTTTACCTAGGATGAATGAAAAACGTGAGTTCTTCTGTGATGCATGTGCCAAAGGGAAGCAAACTAGAACCAGTTTTAAGAGTAAACCAGTTATATCCTCTACCAGACCTCTAGAACTTCTGCATTTAGATCTGTTTGGTCCTTCAAATGTGACCAGCTATGGGGGAAAGTCATATGCCTTTGTGGTAGTGGATGACTATTCAAGGTTCACGTGGGTTCTTTTTCTAGCCAAGAAGGATGAGGCTTTTGAACAGTTTAAGACCTTAACCAAACGCTTAGAAAATGAAAAAGTGTCTAAAATTGGCAGCATTCGAAGTGATCATGGGGGAGAATTCTCCTCTGAGCCTTTTGAACTATTCTGTAATGAATTGGGAATTTTTCACAACTTTTCTGCTCCCAGAACCCCTCAGCAAAATGGAGTAGTTGAAAGAAAAAACAGAACATTAATAGACATAGCTCGTACAATGCTACATGATTATGGTTTACCTAAATACTTTTGGGCTGAGGCAATAAACACTGCATGTTATGTAGTTAATAGAGCCTTAATCAGGTCAGGGTTAAACAAAACTCCTTATGAGTTGTGGAAGGGGAGGAAACCAAACTTAGGATACTTTAGAACCTTTGGATGCAAGTGCTTTGCATTAAATACTAAGGATAATTTGGGGAAATTCGATGCAAGGTCTGATGAAGCTGTGTTTCTGGGGTACTCTAACACCAGCAGGGCTTACAGAATATTTAACAAACGGACCCTCAAAGTTGAGGAGTCCATTAATGTTGTTTTTGATGAAGCAACTGTTGAGATTACAGAGTTACCAGATGATGACGATTTTGGTTTGGGAAGAATGTCTTCAATTGACTCAAATTCAGTTGCTGAGAATCATTCACTTGAGGAAGAGCTACCTGACCGGTCAAAAGCGGATCATCAGAATCAGGAGTCTCAGCCAAATGAGAAAGAAAGTGCAGAAGAAGGTCAGTCTTTACCAGCTGATCCTCAACCCCCTGCACATATAGCCAAGAGACATCCACCTGAGCAAATAATCGGACCTATCAACAAAGGTATGTATACACGCTCTAAGGCTCTGCCATCTCATACTGCCTTTGTGTCTCTTATAGAACCTAAATCGGTAACGGAAGCTCTGTTAGATGAATTCTGGACTGCTGCCATGTTTGATGAGATGCATCAATTTGAGAGAGCAAATGTATGGGAACTGGTACCTAAACCAGAAAACAGAGTAATTATAGGAACAAAATGGATCTATAAGAACAAAACTGATGAAGTAGGAATTGTAACCAGAAATAGGGCAAGGCTGGTAGCTCAGGGTTATAATCAGGAGGAGGGAATAGACTTTGACGAAACATTTGCACCAGTGGCTCGTCTAGAAGCAGTCAGAATGTTATGTGCGTTTGCAAGCGCTTCTAAAATCAAACTCTATCAAATGGATGTGAAAAGTGCGTTTTTGAATGGAGATTTGAAAGAGGAAGTCTATGTAGCACAACCTCCAGGGTTTGAAAATCCAAAATATCCTAATCATGTATATAAATTAAAGAAGGCTCTATATGGTTTGAAACAAGCTCCTAGAGCTTGGTATGATAAATTGAGTTCAATTCTACTAGAAAATGGCTTTCTTAGGGGATCAGTTGATAAAACATTATTTACTAAGAGAGAATCAGGCCATCTATTGCTAGTCCAAGTTTATGTAGATGACATCATATTTGGAGGAACTAGTGAAAAAATGTGCTCAGAATTCGAGAAACTTATGAAAACAAATTTTGAGATGAGTCTGATGGGAGAGTTAAATTACTTTTTAGGATTACAAATAAAACAAACATCTAAGGGGATCTTTGTATGTCAGTCTAAATACATACATAATATGCTAAAACGCTTTGATTTTGGTAACCTCAAAACTGCTGTCACACCCATGGCGTCATCGTTAAAAATTGATAAGGATGAATCTGGTGTTTCTGTAAATGAAAAACTTTATAGAGGTTTAATTGGATCTTTACTTTATGTGACTGCTAGCAGACCTGATATTCTTTACAGTGTGTGTGTCTGTGCCCGGTTCCAAAGTGCACCTAAAGAGAGTCACTTGTCTGCGGTCAAGCGGATTTTTAGATATTTAGCTGGAACAGTGGACTTAGGTCTCTGGTATTCGTGTGAGTCGAGTCTTGAACTGGTAGGATACTCTGATTCTGACTATGCTGGATGCACAGTGGATCGGAAAAGCACTTCAGGTACTTGTCACTTTATGGGGTCTTCATTGGTTGCTTGGTTTAGCAAGAAACAGAATTATGTTGCATTGTCAACCGCTGAAGCGGAATACATTGCAGCAGGTTGCTGTTGCACACAATTACTTTGGATGAAATATCAATTACTTGATTATGGCTTGAAATTTGAGTCACTTCCAGTATTGTGTGATAACACAAGTGCAATTAACATGTCAAAAAATCCAGTTCAACACTCTAAAACAAAACACATAGAAATTAGGTTTCACTTCATCAGAGAACTGGTCCAAGATGGAATTATACATCTGGAGTTCGTTCCAACAATGTACCAGTGGGCTGATATCTTCACAAAGCCCTTGGGCTCGGAACCTTTCCTTCACATTCGTAGAGAACTAGGAATATTTTCCTTAAGTGACATTGCTCCTGCCCTAGTCTAAATCATTTCCAGAATGAGCAAGTCTAATCTTCCTTTTCTGTTCTGTGTCGAGACTTTAGGAGCACGGCCTTTCATCTTTCTATCCTTCCCTCTTCTAGACTTTCCATCCTTCTGTTCTTTGTCGAGACTTTAGGAGCAAGAACCTTCCATATATCTGTCTTCGTTCAACTATATAAAGGTCTAGGGTCATAGGCAATCTCATCTTCCCCTCGTTCCACTCTGCTACTAAAAGCAATCATTCTCGGTGCACATCATGGCTGGTTCCAATCAGCATATGGCGCCTCTTCGCCTGGCTCAAGCTGCCATATTCAATGGAAAGGGGTTTGAAGATGCGGCGGGTTATGCACGATATCTTCGTCACTTTCAAGATCGACCTCTCAGTCCCTCCATCACTCTTGATCCCTCTCGATTCAACAGGTATGGGATGGATATCCCTCGCCTGATCAACTCCATTGGATGGGGTGAAATCCTTCCTAACAGGAACTTTGGCTTTCGTCCGGAAGCAGTAAGGATGTTCTATGCCAACATGAAACCTAGTTTTCATATCTATCCTCCTTGCTTCACTACAATAGTTTACAACTATTTGATAACTATCAATGTGGAACTATTGTCTCTCCTTCTTGGGATTCCCATTGCGGGGGCTGAGGTTCTCAATGAGTCTGATTTTCACTCGGTTGATTTCAATGAGGGAGATGCGCTTCGACTCTACACCAGGGATACTGGTCGTTATTATCCCTCTGATTTTCATTCTGGTAGGCTTCCTGACGACCTCAAAGTACTACATTTCTACATCACTCGTTGCTTCCTTCCTCGTTCTCATGGTCTCAACACAATCTATCCCTCGGATCTGTGGATACTCGCAAGTGCTAAGGAGAATCGAGTCATCAGCTTTCCTCACCTGATGTTTGCTCATATGGTAAATTACCATGACGAGCATTATGAGTGTGAACTTCCTTTTGCCCCACAGATCACCCAAATCCTGTTGGCCTTAGGCCTGGATCTGCGCTTTAAGGTCGCTCGTGTGGATCTGCTGAGCTCTCTGCGTGCTCAATTTGTGCTGCGTAAGGTTGATGCTTCAGTGGGTCGCCGTGGTCCTAGGGTCAATGCTCCAGGGGGAGAAGCAGCTGATGATGCAGTTCCCTCTAAAGAAGATGGTCTGTACCTTGCGGAACTGGATGCCAATGAACCTGAAGAGGCCCCTGACATAGCAGACTTGGTTGAAGCGGCAGAAGACAAAGGAAAACGCCCAATGGTGCATCCTTTAGAGATTATCCAAGCCATGTTTAGACAGGAAGGAGAAGCTAGCAGCAGCAGGAATCCGATGATGGAGGATGAAGATGCAATCTCGGATTATGTTCAGTCTCCAGATTATGACTTTTAGGACAGAAGTCACGTGTAGGGGGAGTTTGATCCTTATGAGTAGAGTCCGGTATAATGAGTTGAGTTAAGTTTAGTATTGGCAGTAGTCGTCATGTTTAGTTAAGTTCAATAAGTCTTGTCCGGTCGTGGTGATAGTCGAAATAAAGCTCAGTATGAGTGAGTCCGTGTTTGAATCTTTATGTGTGGTGTCTGGCTGAATAAATAAAACTCCCTCTTTGTTACATGAATGTGTCTGAGAATTTGTTCTTCCACGTTTGTATGGAACAGTCTGCACGTAACTGTGTGCTAAGTGTGTGCAGGAACTGCAAATTCAGCTGAAGGGATCATTGACTGGCTTAGGGGGAGAATGTTGTGAGCAAGTCAGCAAGCCAGCCATTAATCACAGAATTTGAAGGAGGAAACGTGGGATACAAGGTTCTACAGAGGGAAAGAAATCGTGCAAATGGTGGATGATTTGATTCGGCAAAGATCCACGCATGAGAGGCTCTTAAGGAAAGAATTTCAAGCTGCCTCGCTCTGACACTAACGGCTAGCTGAGAAGAAGTATAAAAGGATCAGAGTCAAGTAATTGAAGGGGCTTTTCGGAAAAATCTCGTTCAAGAGTACACAGAGAGGTGTAAGCAACGAGAGATAGGAAGAGCGGCTCTAAACACCAGATCAGGATTGATAGTGTTTTAGAGATTGAGAAAAGTAGCTGGATAGCTGAGGAGAAAGAATTACAGGGATAGAAGGATTATCCTTCCTGTAAGGGTTGGGTAACTAAGTCTAAGAGTGTATCTCTGAATCGGTGCAACAAAAGCAACATACTTAGTGGATTGGCGAGAATCACACATCAGTGATATCTCGTCCGTGGATTAGTCAGAGTTGGGGATCATTTTACCCAGCTCTGGATACCACGTAAAAACGTGCTATAGCCTTTATCATTCTTGTTACCTGTTTACTGTGACTGTCTCTATTTGCAGGACTCGGTATTGGTTGAGAAACAGTGGAGCTGAATCCGTTTGGTTTCAAGGAAACAACACTAAAGCTGTTGTTAAAACGCACAATTCAGACCAAAGGTGGAACTGTGCACTACAGGCTTGATTCGAGGCCTGAACATCAGTGGGCCTAATTAAACTCAAGCCCAGGGTCTAAAGCCCATCTGGTTCTATTATTTGTTTGATCTAAAATCTCACATCCTCAGTTCACTTGTATTTTCCCCTTCACTGATCATAGTCGAGAGTCGGGTTAGGGTTTGCAGGGAAATCTGATCGACGAAAAGTAGGAGGCATCTCGCGCTCGACGCCTTCAACAGACATGTCTAATTTTTTCTTTTTAATTGTGTAGAATGAAGTTGATGTTATGGAGTGGAGAGTAAAGAAACTTAATTGAAAGGAAGAAGCTTTCAATTAAACATGTTATTTATGGATAATTTGTGATTTGCTTCAATTTTCTTGAGTTTTCTAGATTGGTGTTGAACAATTTGTATAGTTAATTTGTGATTTGCTTGAATTTTCTAGAATGGTGTTTTATATATGGATAATTTGTATTGAGAGATTGATATTTGATTTTAATTTTGATAAGAACTTGTAATTGTAAATTTTTTACGACAAAACTCGTGGGTACCCATGAACCCCCGGATACCCAACGGGTTGGGTTGGGTTTGAGTTTTTCAAACCCAGTGGGTTTTACCCCGGGTTTTTTTCAAAGATAAACCCATGGGTTTGGGTTTGGGTTTGGCAAAACCCGACCCAACCCGACCCATTGTCATCCCTACCAGCAACACCTTCATTCACCTCTACAACCAAGAAATACTTCATCCTTTCTAAATCTGACATCTCAAACTCAACTTCCATTGAAGTTTAGAATTCAGTAATGCATCTGAGATATTAGTTGATATACATCACATCATCCATTAACAAACTTACCACTAAGATGCTTGTTCCAGATTTCCTTATGAATAATGTGTGTTTATAAGTGCATCTCTCAAACCCACAGTTTAGAGAGTATGCTTTAATTCTACTATACCAAGCTCTAAGAGCCTGCTTCAATCCATACAAGGCTTTCTGAAGTTTATATACCTTGTTTTTCTCTCCAACAACCACAAATTCGGGTGGTTTCTCAATATAAACTTCCCCATAAAGCTTACCATGTAAAAAAGAACTTTTGACTATAGGTAGGTGTCAAAATAGAACCCCGACTCAAGTAACCTGTCCGATCAACCCGACCCGTAACCTGACCGCAACCCGAATTGACTAAAAGTCAATAACTTGTAACCCGCATGATCCGTAACCCGATTGAACCGCAACCTGATTGACCTGCAACTTGACTAACCCGATTAACCCGAACCCCATTGACCTGTAACCCGATTGAACCCGTAACCCAATTGACCCGCAACCCGATTGACCCGAACCCAACTAACCCGAACCTACCAGATTGACCTTAATAATTACTATACTATATAATATATAATCTTTCAATTGAGACAATCTATAGCATTAATATAGTGTATACCCATTAAAATTATTGTTAATTTAACTATTCAAAAAAATTATCAATTAAATATAAATATAAAAGTAATGTATTTGTTGTTAATTTAACTATTCAAAAAAATTATCAATTAAATATAAATATAAAAGTAATGTATTTGGAAATTTGATTACTATAATAGAAGTGGGAAAATTTCAACTTTTTAGGAAAGTAGATAAGAGGAAATTTGATGCTTTGGAGAAGGAAATAAGTGATAAATTTTTGTGCTTGAATTATGGAAAGAGAACTAGGGTATTTTTTTGTGTGTTTAAACTTTTTGAAAAGCAAAGAAGGGAAATTTTGTGTTTTCAATTTCTGAAAAGAGAAGAGGAGGGAAACTTGAGTGCTTTTAAATTTGGTGTTTTTAATGTTCAATTAGGGATGTTCTATAAGGCTAATAAGGTTTACAATAGGCAATGTCTTAGTCACTATATGTTAAACTCCTAAACTGTTATATATTAAAACATTGTACTACAACTTGCATTTGAGATAGTTTAAATGATGTGATTGAGATAAGATAACTCATTATATATTCTCAAATCTACTATATCCAATTAGTAATGCCCTATAATGTGATAGTAATATTTACTATGGACAATATATTTGTCACTAAATATTAAACTTATCTTAGTAACGTCACTTGAACCATCATAACGTTACTTGTCACTAAATCTACACATTAACTAGCACCCATCATATAACTAATTTAACAACTTAAAATAAACAATATACTTATCTTTATCTAGCTATATGAACTAATTTGACTACTTTCAAGGGTATGAAGTTAAATAATTTGAATTTTACGATATATATGTATATATATGGTGCTTTCTACAGTACCCCGAGTGAAATCCGGGGTACCGCAAAACTTGAGTATGAAAACTCTATCTAGACCTCGAATTAACAGGATTTTTGGGCATGATACTATACCCTAACCCTTAATGAGTGAACCCTAGTTCCTAATTATCTAAATCATAAACTATAAACCCTAAGATGGTGCATTGATCTTTTTGCCTCTATTTGGACGAATCATAGCCGTCGATTATTGTTCTAATCAAATTGATATTGGGTATAAGATTTAGAGAACTAAGACCTAGATTTTGATCTTTAAGGTTTAGAGTAGAGTATCATATCCGAAATATCAGTCAATTTAAGTTCTAGATAGCGTTTTATTACTCAATGTATGCAGTACCCCGGATTTCACCCTGGGTACCGTAGAACTCCCCGTATATATAATATGTTTATGGCTTCAATAACTAAATGACTAATTGGGTATAATAGATTTGAGAACTTATCAAGAGTCTATCTTATCAAACCAATCGACCATGTTATAGTACACATAATCTAACACCCGTGATATGAAATAATTTAAAAACTTGTGATAAACAACATAAACAACATACTTACGCATTCACACTTGTTATATTATATGTACTTTGATATATTTCGATGAATCAGAACCGTCAATTATTATTATTTTAGATTAATTAAATTTTATGATTTGGGTTAGAGAATTAGGACTTGGATTCATCCATTAGAGGTTAGGGTATAATATCATACCCAAAAATTCGGTTAATTTGTAATTAGATAGTAAAATCGACCGCATACGATAGTGTAAACACATACGTATAGCGGCGCACACTTATATGAACAATATTATGTGTTTGCTTATGGCTTTACCATGAGTTACAATTAACATCGTAGATAATTTGGTGGCTATTTGTGAAATGGTCATGGAGTCCATCAAAACAAATTGCGGGAGACAAAAAAAAAAAAAAAAAGATTGGAGCCAAAATCTTAAGAGTTCAATATTTAGGAGGGAGGAATATTGGTTTGGGGCCAATTGCATTTGCTGGGAGATTCAAAATGGATGCGCAGGGAGATGTGTAGGATGGCCAAATTTCAATATTTAAGAGGGGGAATATTGGAGCCAGAATCAGAATGGCGGCCCGGCCTAGGAGTGGAAAACGTGTACCAATCCTGTTTGAAGGACAAAGTTCATCCCATATCTCAAATTCCATCGGATACCCAAACTACCTATTAATACCCGTTTAACATGGAAAAATTTACAAAATTACACCTGAAACAAAATTACAAAACTACACTTGAAACAAAATAAAATAAGCATTAAGAAATATGGCTACTGTCTCTAAGGCATAAGGCATAAGAAATATAGCTACTGTCTACTCGGATAGGAAGTCTTCGGGTGGGAACTGGGTTTTAGATTTGGGCTAAATGCCTAAATAAAATTTAATAAATCTTAATGGGTAATACGGGTACCCAAACTACCCAAACGGGTATACCGCGGGTATCCAATATTGAGATTTTTAGTCTCAATTCTCATCCCACAACAAATATAACAGGAATTTGGGTACCCGTACCCCTAAAAAAACGGGACGAGTTTGGGTATACCCAAATACCCGTTTCTCGTTTTCCACTCCTAATCCGGCCGGTTGGGGGAGGACGGCGAATTTTTGAATTTTGAAAATTCTT